GCCGCCAAAGTAGTGAAGTTGAGCCCAGGCCTTCCAACCTTCAGTTCCAGAGCCCATATCAACATATTCAAGAAGAGCTGGAGGGAGAAGTGGGTCGAAATTTTAAAAAATGGAAGGGCTTGTCTATCCTAAGCCCAAGAGAGGCTGACCATGGGGTTAATGAAAGGGCTTGTTTTATTTTGAGCCCATCGAGTTCTGTGTTTGCAGGAGGAGTGAAAGGAAGAAGTAAGAAGAAGAAACACCACAGGAACAAAGCTCAATCGACAAGTGAAGGCATAGAGGATGGAGAAGAAAGTGACACTAGGGCAGCGGTGGTTCGCCAAAAGCCATCTCATGATCCATGAGTATTGTAAGTTGGAACTGTAGGGGATTTGGTCAAACCCTTACAAGAAGTTATGCTAAGCGTCTTATTCGACGTCATGGCCCTTCTATTGTTTTCATAATGGAAAAGCAACAACGAAGAATTCATGGAAGAACATAGAAGAAGTCTTAAAGTTTTACCCAATAAAGAGTATTTAGAACCTGTCAACTCTTCTAGGGGCTTCGCTTTATGGTGGAAGGAGGGTATTAGTATTAATGTACTTAGTAGTGATAAGTATTATATGGATGTTAGCATTGACATGGGGAAGAAGTTCTTTTGTACTTTTGTCCATACCCCAACTACTGTTGTTGGTAGAAGGGAGTTTTGGGAGCACTTGAGCTCTCTTCGGAGTAGTAGAGATGATAGCTGAGTCATAGTTGGGGATTTTAATGCTGCTATTTATGAATATGAAAAGGAAGGGAGGTGTCCTCTTAGGTACGATAATGTGGAACCTTTCAAAAGGTTCATTTTTGACAATGCCCTCATCGGCCTTGGATTCGAAGGCAACCCTTTCACTTGGTCCAATAAGCGCTCTAGTCCAAATTTGGTTGGAGTTAGATTGGACCGGGTGTTGTGCTCGCCATCTTGGAGAGTGATGTTTGGAGAAGCGGTTGTATTCCATGAAAAGAGGGTGGCTTCTGACCATTGCCCAATTAGAATTGATTTCCACTATCAAGGAAACATAAGAAGAAGAACACCGTTCAGGGTGGATGAAAGATGGCTGGAAAAAGAGGGATGCAATGAGATTGTTTGCAGGTAATGGGATCCAGGAGGACTATCTATCAATCAGCTAAATAAATGCGAGAGAGAACTTAAGGCATGAGCGAAAGACTTCCATAAGAATAGTATTCTTAGGGAGAGTGAAATTGTGTCTAGACTTGAGATTCTCCATCAACCTCCACATATTCTAGAGAATGTGGAGGAGGAGAAGAGCCTTACATCGGAATTGACCAGAATTTGGCTTGAGGAGGAAGCCTTTTGGAGTCAGTGCTCTAGAGTTATTTGGCTTCAAAAAGGTGATCAAAACACTTCCTTATTCCATTCTAGCACTATTCACAGAAAGCATAGAAACAAAATCCTTCACCTTAAAGATGAGATGTTGAATTGGGTTGAAGATGAGGCAAGGCTGAAGGGTATGTCAGTAGGATTTTTCAAAGATATTTTCAAGGCTAGAAAGGCACCAGGGCCAGACGGACCCTCTGCAGAGAAGTAAAGGATTTCTTTGATTCAGCTATTATGCCTGGAGGGTGGAATGATACGCACATTGTGATGGTACCAACGCTGGACCATCCGGAGACAATAGGCCAATTTCGACCCATTAGTTGCTGCAATTTCAGGTACAAAATCATCTCAAAGATTTTGGCTACCCGACTGAAGAAATGGACTCCCTATTTGGTCTCAGAGCTTCAGACAGTATTCACAGGCGGTCGCCTCATCCAAGATAATATCATTATCGTTCATGAAGTTCTACACCATTTCAAGAATCACAAACTAGGCAACATAAGGGATATGATGATGAAGCTAGATATGAAAAAGGCTTATGATATGGTTGAGTGAGAGTGTCTGGAGACTCTCCTAAGGCAATATGGGTTCAATGAGAGATGGTGCAAATGGGTCAGCGCTTGTATTCGTACGGTCAGTTTCTCAGTATTGTTCAATGGAGAAGCCTCAGAGAGCTTTTATCCCTCGAGAGGCATTAGACAAGGAGACCCTCTATCCCCTTTTCTTTTCATCCATATGTCTAATGCTCTCACATTCCTGGTTGACAAAGCAGTGATAGAAGAATGGATCAAGGGAATTAAGCTCAACTCGAGATGCCCTACTCTCACTCACTGTCTTTTTGCGGATGACACAATCACATTTGGGAAAGCTAACATCCAAGAGGCTGAAAGAATTTTGGAGGTCATCAACGACTATGAGGCAATCACTGGTTAAGAAGTCAACATACACAAATCCTCTATTTTTTCCAGGGCGAATGTTCCAGCTGAAGAGAAGAATGATATCATCAATCACATTGGATTTGCGTCCTCCAACTGCCATTCAAAATATCTTGGAGCCCCGACAGAACGGGGAAATTAAAAGAAGGAAACATTCTACTTCATTATCCAAATGATGGAAAAGATGGGGGAAGCATGGAAGAACATGCTTCTCTCACATGGAGGAAAGGAAGTCCTCCTCAAGTCGGTTATTCAGGCTATCCCTTCTTTCATCATGTGCCTCTTCCTTCTACCAGTGTCCCTGATGAAGAAAATGGATTCTCTTCTTATCAATTTTTTCTGGTCAGGATCGATGCAGAAAAGCAATCTTCACTGGTGTAGGAAGGATGTTCTCTGTACCCAAAAATCAGAGGGAGGGTTGGGTTTCCAAAGCTTTAGAGATTTCAATCTGGCCCTGCTTGCCAAACAAGCCTGGAGGCTTATGAACAACACTGATTCACTTTGGAGTCGTCTCATTAAAGGACTTTACTTCCCTAGATGCAACTTTCTCTCAGCTAAAAAAGGAAGCAAACCATCATGGATCTGGGCGAGTCTATGGGAGTCCAAGAAAGTCATTGATCTAGGAGCTGTTAAAGTGATTGGATCGGGTGAGGATACATGGATTGATCAAGATCCTTGGGTTCCCTTCCTTCATAAGGCGAGCATTCAGAGTGGTCCACAGAACCACGCAAGAGTCAGTACCTGTATTGATCCGGAAAGCAGAAAGTGGAATGATGATTTGTCCAGGGACAGGTTTCTTCTCCAGAAAGGGATGCTATCTTGAGAGTTCCGATTGGAGAGGAGGACGACAAGGAATTCTGGGCGTGGAGATTTAATGAAGATGGAAAGTTTACTGTCAAGATGGCGTATCATGCGGTTCACTTGTCAGTAACGGATCCCCAAACGATGCACAATGTGGAGAAATGGAAATGGATGTGGAGTCTGAATATCCCGCCTAAGCTCAAGTTCATTGTCTGGATATGTGCCAGGAACGGTCTGACAACAAAAGAGAGACTCTTGCATAGGAAATGCTCCCCTAATGCTACATGCCAAGTGTGCCAATGCCCGATTGAGTCCCTCTTCCACTGCCTCTTATATTGTCCCCACGCGAGGGAAGCATGGGAAGTTATCTTCCCAAACCTCCCTCTGCCAGCTCAGTATACTGCTTTCCTTGTCTGGTTGTACCTACTCAAGGACTCTATCCAACCAGGAGTCATGACTCATGTTATATTCCTTTGTTGGAATATTTGGAAGGCTAGAAATGAATGTGTGTTCAAGAATTGGATCCCTTGGCATCCAAACGTTATTTTGCGTACTTACAAGGAGTTCATAGAATGGACAAATTACCCGAGGAGTCCCCCCACTGACTCTCCTTCTACTCAGCTCAGGGGAGCCCAATCAATCAATTCTCCACCGCCAAACAATCACAATATTGTGATTCACTATGATGGGTCTTTCTTAAACGACTCCCAGCCGGCGGCATATGGTGTTGTGGTCACTAACCACCATGGACAAGTGTGTGATGGGCGAGCTGACACTCTCCTTTGTTCCACCCATCTCGAAGCCGAAGCAAAAGCTCTATTGGAAGGTCTAAAATTAGCCCAAGAATATGGCACGTAATGTGTTGTCCAGTCAGACTGCCAGCTACTTGTCAAAGCTCTCTCTGATGATCCAAGAAGTTGGCCTTGGCGAGGTGCAGCCTGGATTGGATCAATGATCTCAATCTTAAGAGTGAACCCTCAAGTGAAGGTCAAGGCAGTTTCACGTGCTTTCAATGTTAGAGCTGATTGGGTTGCACGATCACTTGCTAGATCTTTTCTCCATGTAAACTGGATTAGTTTTCTTGACCTAATTTCGGATTTCCTTTGGTAAAGTGTATTCTCGCTTTTTTCCGAGTTGGAAGTGGAATAAAAGATGAACTTTATTGTAAAAAAAAAAAAGCAAACGGCCTCCCTCTCCGTCATTGTCAATGAAAATGGAACGGGGATTTGACGTGAGAAAGGAAAGTCCAAGAGTTTGAGATTTTTTTATGATTGTGAAATGAGGTGGACAATTTAAATTATTTTATTATTTTTTAATGATCACGTCACTTATTAAACGATTAACCATGAGAGTTCACTATCACATAAGATAAAATCAATAGAGTTGGACAATCAGTGACCACGAATGAAATAAATTAGTTTTAATGACAAATGTAAAAGAATTTAGTAAACCTAGTGACAAATTGTGGGATTTGGGTGATGGATTTGGAACCCAAATCCCAAGCATCATGGAGTTGACACAAATCCTTTGTTTGTTGAGGGACACAAATCCGTGGGGTCCACGGATTTGGACCCCCTTTTTTAGATCCAAATCCGTGGACCCCACGGATTTGTAAATCCCACATTTCATTTGGGATTTGACAATAGAAGGAAAAAATGTGAGACAAATCCATCACAAATCCATGATAAAAAATCAACTAAACAAACAATGTACTCTTCCAAATCCATGATGCAACAAATCCATGATAAATCCAAAAATTTTTAAAACTCAAAACCTTCATTTTCAAATCCAACAAGCAAACGAGCACTTATCCCTTAAAGTTTAGTGGCAAGTTTGTAATCCAGCACGGAATTTGGAAAAGAAACTACACCGTTTCTTAACGCTGATCTTGACAAAGAAATTGAAGTTGTGAGCGCCAAATTCCGTCAAAGGGACAAAAAAATCCCTAGTTTTCCTTTACTAGACCGCCGCTGCTGCTTCTGCATCTCCTCACTCTGGCAGGCCGCCGTTGAGCGCTCGCCACCGGACAGCTTAGTTGAAGAAGCGATACCAGTTCCTCCACCGAACGCTACGTCGGTTCATTTGCCTCTGTAAGATTCTAACCCCTCTGCCGCCGCCACTTCAGTCGCGGAGACGGTGACTTTCAGCTTTCCAAGATAAAAATCCTTTTTTCTGGTAGATTTTTCGTTTAAGTGGTACCAGGTGTTTTCATTTTTGTCTTTTTGTTTGATTCACTTGATTTCCTGCCATTGGCAGACCAATCACCAAGTGCGCATTGTCATACTTTCAAGTTTTCAGTTATGTCGTAAAAAAATTTAAGCGTGTAGGCGCTTTAAGATACAGTAGCCATTCGGTTGATTTGAGGTTTATCCGCGTAGGCTGTAGCTAGTCGATTGATTGAAGAATTTTATGCAAATTGATATGCATGTAGGCTGGAGCTATTTGGTTTTGTATGGTGCTGCTGGTAATATCTATTTTATCAAGGGACATGATATCGCCGCTTAGGCTTAATATGATGTTTAGTTCTTCACAGGTTGATATGGCATTACTGTAATCCTAGTTCAATGGTATACCTTAAATCGTTAAACTTGGTTGACAGTCTCTGGTACAGTTTCACAACCCTTGGTTTCTTATCCCTCGTTTTGCGGTTTTGCAGCTGGATAAAACCGAGATGGAAATGATGGCCACCGATGGCAAGTTCTCAGCGTGAGTTTCATCCTTGCATCTTGGGTTCTTTTCTCTTCTGTTTCAATTTGAATTGTAGTGAATCATTAATATAGAAGATGTGTAGAATTTGGGAAGTACTCTTTTGTAATGTTTGTTCCACAGCATTTGCTTCGAGTTCGTCTCATTTCTTTCTGCGTTTATTAGTGGTATTGAATTCAAAATGGCTGGTGTAGCTATGGCTGGACATATGGTAGCTTTCCTATGTCAGTGATCTCATCTAGACAGTGCGCTTTCTATTTTTGCAACTTCCTCTATTTTGGGCTTTCCTTGCAACCGTGTAGAATTGACACCAATTGTAATCTTCCTCTGCAGCAACTTGGAAGTAGACTTTGGATCCGAAGAAAATGCTTCAATTGTACATGCGGCATTGGCTGTCGATAAGGAGGTAAGCAGAAGAGCTAGAGTAGTAGTTCTTTTTCCCCTACTTGTTTCATGGAAGTAGTGTTCGCCGGTCGCCACCAAACTGCTGCCGCTCCTATTGGCATGTATATGAGCATCGTTTGTCGAGGCTTCAAGTATTTTGTTTAATGCCATCAAAGCTTGTTCGTGCTTATCACCTAATATTGTTCCTGTTTTGCAGTTGCAGCCGGATAAAGTGAAGAGGGAGATGGTGGTTTGTGATGGCAAGTTGTCTGTGTGAGTACTTCTGCTCTGCATTTTCCATTTATCATTGTTGCTAGATGTGTAGATTCTCCAAGTTTAGACTATCCAGTTGTCTGGTGGTATTGTTGAAGATGTGTTTCTTTATGTGTCGACTCAGAGCTGGTGATGGTTGTGCTTTTGCAGGTCCTTTGAGGCAGTTGAGGCGAGGTTTCTGCGGGCTTCATTCTCTGCATTTGTTGATGTGCTTACACTTGCAACCAAGACGATTGAAGCTTTTGGGAAGCTGAAATAAGTAAACTTGGGAATAGTCTGCTTATTGTTTGCTTGCTGGAGGGAGTTCTGTTGGCAAATGACCTAAGAAGAAAGCTGTTTATACTCTACCAATGATGTAACCTTGTCGCATGGAGATTCTGTTCCTGTTACCTATGGCACGATTATAAAAGATAACAAGGAGCTTTGGAGCTGTAGTTTAAGTGTCATGTGCAAGATCATTAGGAAGCAGAAGTGGAATTGTGTAATGCTGGCAGTGGTCAGTTCCGTTCTAGTCTAAACTTACACGATAAAACGAAGCATTTGAAACTATTGAATGAGAACTTTGAATGACAAACAATGTTGCTGGTGTACAAAATTGGCTCTGCCCACTTTCTGTTATCCATTTTTCATAATCAGAACAAGACATGATATTAAGAGAGGAGAAACCAATAAGGATGGTTGCCCTGCGAACAATCCTGGTCTCCAACTTCATCGGGGTAACGGAGAACAAAATTGCTAATCATCAACAGTTGGTGTATCCGTGCAGTTCTTCCTCTTGTGCAGTTCCAACAATCTTGTCTCTGGATTACACAACCCTGCAGTGTATTCCCAGAGAAAATAAGGGCCAACTAAAAAGATTTCTAAACAACCACAATTTTAATATTGTTTCGATTGCTTACAGAAGACCAACCTGAACAGGTGGGAATATCCGAGATGACAATCGACGACGGACTACAATCTGTTTCACAAAGATGTCGATCATTCTCGTGGTTAACATTCATTGCGAGCATCCATGAACCGATTGTAACATCTTCGTTGCTGAACATCCTAAAACTGATGTCACCCCCAAAGAAGAGTTACATTTCAGACATCATAAAGCTCCACTAGGGTATTAATTGCCAAAGTAGCATTCATGTTAAGTGCAACCAGCTTGGAGGTCAAGGAAGAAAAGGTGCTCTCAAATGTTTAAGAGATGGCATTGATTTCCAATGGACAGATACAGATATGGTCGCTACAAAGATTTAGAGCAAACTTGCCTGTTATTTCTGAGAGCAACCAAGCTTGCAACGACATCTGCTGAAAGAGCATAAAATGGACCGTAAGCATGGAGAAAATACTCACTCCCTAGCATATAGTGAAGCGGCTCATACCTGTACCAGTCAGCAGAAACATAATTAGTACACTTGAACATATGCAATTCAAGAGCAGCCAGTTTCGAGAAACCCTATGAAGAAGGATGAATTGGTTTGGAAAATATTTTCTTGGCACAGAAAAAATTTGGAGTGGTAGCCTAAGCAAACCAAAACAAATGGAAATATATTTCTACCTTTTCCACAACCACCATTGATACTTTGGCGATCAAGTCAGTGTTAACATAACAAAATTTCAGTCAATCATCTTAATCGTTATGTAGAAATTCCAACTTGTTTTCAAGAGATGCCACAAAATTTTCAAGTTGTACTTTCATATGAAATGTTATGACAAGACAAGCGGAATTCAAGAGTTTTGGATAACATCATAACTTCACTTTTCTGCAACCTGCAAATGATGGTTGTATAGCTGGTTACTTTAAATTTTCAAGTCGAGTGCTTTTTTATCTATATCTGCATACTTATATGCAGAACTTCCTGAAGGAGAAGGCTTTGGCTGTGTGGGGTAATAGAGTAATGATACAAGATCTAGAGATGAAGACTTCTAGGCATGCATTGTAATTTGCCTACATTGGATAGTTTATCCGTGCCATGCAGAACTCTTGGTGTTTATGATGAAACCATCAGGTATGTTTGCTTACACATCTAGAACCTCATGGTTCTTTGGATCTTTCTAGTATTCCTTGCTTTCCCTGCCTCTGAAGTATACCAAAAGTTCAATGAGATGCACAGTTCTCTAACTTAACCCATCACCATTGTCTAAGTGAAGCCTTCACTGTGAATGGCATTATACGAGCCAAATGGACCATTATAAATTATGCTCAAACTGGAGTTTAAGTCGCAACTCACGACATATCCACAAAAGCAACTAATTTGGACAACTAGTTTAGGAGTTGTAATTAAGGGATAAGTTGGAGGATGTTTTCTAGATTCTGTCTCCCCTAAACCCCTATTGCACCTCAAAGCAGTGAACTGGTGGAGCAAGCTAGAGGAAATCCATGGCTCTTGACCTCTGACTATATCAGCAGCAGCTCTTGTATCCTTGACAAATCCAGTAGAAGAAAACAGAATTCAATTGTTTGTAACGTTGAATGATTTCAATGAAATGGGCATTAGTTATGTGTTCTTATTTCTTAAATCAATACAAACCAGCAATTACCTAGTGCCACTAGCAACATATTTTGTAGTGTGAATGCTGCGACCATGTTTCAACCGCATATGACAACTATCCTATTGGCAAAGAAACTTAATGATAGAGCAACTTCAATTTGTAGTTCGAGGGAAGACATAATCTTTCCAATATATTTTTTCTTTTATTCCAAGTCATCCATATCTATCTTCAGTTCAATATTGTTCTTTATGGTCAAGCTATTGCCAACTCGTACTTGTGATTTGGTCATCAAATCTCATATATGCTCCAATTCACTAGATGGTCCTCCACATGCTGATATATAAAATGCTCACAGTATCCTAGCAATCATTGCACTTAGATGGCAGCCATCAACCAGTACAACTTAAGAATGTCAAGTGGAATAAATGAGTAACTAATTAAGTTGTACAGGGCTGCAGCACATGAACTCAAGCACACAAGAATACCTAAAAAAAGATAAGCAAAATGAGGAAGAAGACTGACCATTTGAGTTTTGGATCACTAAAAACCGGTCCCTTCTTCATGCAGCCGAGATATGTCCTCGAATGAGGCCGATCTTTAGCTAGGAGCGTGGAGAGACGATCTAAAACAAGCAAATCAAAGATATGAGCACAGAGATTGAATGCGAATCACAGAATCAAACAAAAACAACAGATTGCCAACGATGTACCAGGCCTCAAGTAAATGTCATCGTCCGCCTTCACGTAGAAATCGGAATCGAAGAGTGCATATGCAGCTTTGAAGAAAGCCAATCTGCAGTTACATTTCCAGTTAAGACTCGCAAAATAACCATTCAACTCTACAAAACCACACAGAGGCAACAAACACCACTAACGTTTTATAAGGAAGCTTACTGTACTGTTCCTCGATATCTAGCAGCAAGAAATCATCATAAGCTTCAACTTCCTTGTCAAGCTCTAACATCTTCCGTTTATCCTTGGTTCTACCAATTACAAACCTGAATGCTAAACCAGTAGATTCTTCCAAGCTGCACAGCTCAAACCGAAAAAGAAAGTAACCAACTACCCAATCAAACAAATCGAATCTTCTCTCGACATAGTTTCAATTTTCAACACAAATCTGGACCATACCGTTGAAGCCCTTGGGGATCCGACGGCATCCACGTCTTCCTCAGCGATTGCCTCCTACCCGAAGATCCGAAACCGGTCTGAATCCCTACAAAGGCCATGACCTTATGCCTCGTCCTCTCGCCATCGAGAAGGAGGCCGCCTCGGTCTGCTTTCAGCTCACTGGTCAGGGCATTGGTCTCCCACACCACACTCACCGATCGCGGGCGGATGTTGCCGCCGCAACGGCGAGCGGAAGGGGAAACGAAGAGGGCGGTGAGACCGAAAACGAAGCCGGAGATTCCGATGCAGAGGGAGACGATGACGACGAGGGCATTTGATCTGCGAGTAGCGGAGAACGGACGGGCGCTGAAGGATTTAGGCGAAGACGGCATGATTTGGGATTCTTCTTCTTCGTCTTCTTTCTTCCTCTGACTCTGAGTTTTACTCATAAAGGAAGGATGATTAGATTGAGAGCGGGAACCATAGCAGAAAGAGGGCAGTGACTAGTGAGTGAGTGGCGAGCTGACGATTGGTTAGGCGTTCCTTTCGATGGATGATTTGAGTTTAAGATTCCGTTGATGGTTAGTTAACAAAAGCTTGCTTCCTGCTGCAACACGGCCGGTAGATGGAATAGACACTCGTATTACCATTTTCTTGGAAAAGTTATTTGTTAAATACCGATATTGCTTTTGGGACTCGGTGCCAATAACAAAATCTCAACTATCAAATTATTTAGGGCAATGTCTATTTTTTACCCAAATCTTTTTCAGATTCTTTTATTTTAACCAAACCTATTGAATTCCTAAAAATTATCCAAACGTTAACTCTCCGTCAACTTTTCTGTTAGTAATGCTGACTAAGTATGACCATAATGAGTTGACTTCCTACGTGGCGGTCAGAATACCATCATTTACTATTTTAATAAAAATAGTATCAAAAAACAAAACAAAATCCCACCTCTCACGTGGACAAAATAAGTAACGGTAACAGAATGAATGCCCAGATTTTGATAAATTATAATACGTTTGGATAATAAATAGAATTTCTATAGGTTTGGTTAAAATAAAAGAATCTGAAAAAGATTTGGGTAAAAAATAGACATTGCCCAATTATTTAAGTGGGCCTTAAAAACTTATATCTAAGAGTAGAGGTAAGAGAATTAAGATTTTTTTATTTTATTATTTGACTTATATTTTTAAGTCGGATTTCAATTTTTTTTGCACAAATGGAACGAGTTCGTTAAGCTCTACAAAATGAGATCCATTTTCAATATTTTTTGAGAAAAATATTTCTTGCTTCTCATACAAACTGCATACCATATGGTATCTTATTTATTTTTATGCGTTTTTTGAAAATTTTGACACAGAAGTAACGAGTTCATCATGATCTATTGGATCTATAAATTTCTGGGTGAACAAAATACAAGATAAAAAAATACCACCGAATACCACCCTCGTATATGGTGATATCTTTGTAGTCCATAATGTATACTCCTACCTATTATCATGCATTCAATCCTACACTTTTGGTATGTTCATACCACCATGGTAAGCTTTTTCATATCATATTGTATGCTCTTATTTAATATCAGTCAATACCATATGGTATAAATCTGGTAAAAAATGGCTCAATTTTTTTGTTCCAAAATATATCAAAGTGGATATCATTTTGAAGACTACAATTTTTTTTTGTCAAAAGATATCATATATTGATAAAAAAATAGACAGTTACATCCTGGAAACGAGTCAGGCCCGAAAATCAAAGAAGCGACTCATAGTCGGATACAAGGAAAGGGCTTTTCTAGCTACCGAATGCGCTACCCTATTTGTTTGAGCCTAGAATGTACTAGGCGGTTATGGGGCTCCGATCTGGACTCCTTCGTCTGATCTCCTCGAGAGGGAAGAACCTGTGAGGCGGGGGGCGGCCCCCGGGATCTACGCTCCGACGCCCAAGTTAGTACGATATAAGAGAGTGTATGGTATATAGAGAGAGAGAGAGAGTTTAGAGAGAGACCTTAGGGTAGAAGTGAGGAGGGGAAAGAGAGGATCCCTGACTTGGAGGCTTTGGCCTCCTTATATAGGGCTTGAGACTCCTTAAGTGGGCTTGGGCCCGTGACGCCTTGCGGTGGGCTTGGGCCCGTTTATAGTCTTGTAGGCATATTAATCCATATCCCAACAATTGCCCCTTTACTTCTTGTATTCTGTAAGAATGGAAGGAGTAACATAATGCGTTAATCGTGTATTAATTTGCCTTACTTGCGAATCCGGATGATGCGGTTTGCCCCTTGTGCGAGTTGTGTGATAATTTCTTCTGCCCCTTGCTTATCTTTCGATGCCTTGAACTAAAGCTCTCAAGTCGTTAAGAGTTCCTTCGCTAGTCCATTGTTGTTAGCGCTAGTAGACCATAATTGCGACCTAGGTAGGGTGGCCCCCACGGCTTGAGAGTTTTAACTCAAGACGCTCTTGTTTAGTGTTTCCTCGGCTTACTGGGGTGTGCTTCTGCTTCGCTTCCGGAGAAGCGCACTAGTCCTTCGACTTCTTGGGAAGCGCATTACTCCTTCGCTTCCTGGGAAGTGCATTGCTCCTTTGCTTTTTGGGAAGCGCTTTGCTCCTCGATTTCCTGGAAAGCGCATTAGTCATTGGCCTCCTAGGAAGCGCTTAAGTCTCCGACTTCCTGGGAAGCGCATCGTTTCTTCGTTTCCTGGGAAGCGCATCTGTCCTCTGGCTTTCTGGGAAGCACATGCTCCTCGCTTCTTGAGAAGCACATTATTCCTCGGCTTCCTGGGAAGCGCATCGCTCCTCAGCTTCCTGGGAAGCACGTCGCCTCTTGGCTTGCTGGGAAGCGCATCGCTCCTGCGCTTCCTGAGAAGCGCGTCGCTCCTCGGCTTCCTGGGAAGCGCATGCTCCTTCGCTTCCTGGGAAGTACATTGCTCCCTCGGCTTCCTGGAAAACGCGTTGCTTCTTCACTTCCTGGGAAGCACATCGCTCCTTGGCTTCCTGGGAAGCGCATCGCTACCCGGCTTCCTGGGAAGCGCATCGCTACTCGGCATCCCGGAAAGCGCATTGCTCCTCGGCTTCTAGGGAAGTGCATTGCTCCTCGGCTTCCTGGGAAGCGCGTTGCTCCCTCGGCTTCCTGGGAAGCGCGTCGCTCCTCGGCTTCTTGGGAAGCGCATTTGCTCCTCCGCTTCCTGGGAAGCGCGTCGCTTCTCGGCTTCCTGGGAAGCGCATTGCTCCCTCGGCTTCCTGGGAAGCGCGTCGCTCCTCGGCTTCCTGGGAAGCGCATTTGCTCCTCGGCTTCCTGGGAAGCGCGTCGCTTCTCGGCTTCCTGGGAAGCGCGTCGCTCCCTCGGCTTCCTGGGAAGCGCGTCGCTTCCTCGGCTTCCTGGGAAGCGCGTTGTTCCCTCGGCTTCCTGGGAAGCGCGTTGTTCCCTCGGCTTCCTGGGAAGCGCGTTGCTCCCTCGGCTTCCTGGGAAGCGCATCGCTCCTCAGCTTCCTGGGAAGCGCGTTGTTCCCTCGGCTTCCTGGGAAGCGCGTCGCTCCTCGACTTCTTGGGAAGCGCATTGCTCCTTCGGCTTCCTGGGAAGCGCATCGCTCCTCAGCTCCCTGGGAAGCGCATCGTTCCTTCCAGGAAGCGCATTGCTCCTCGGCTTCCTGGGAAGCGCGTTGTTCCCTCGGCTTCCTAGGAAGCGCGTCACTTCTCGGCTTCCTGGGGCTCCCTCGGCTTCCTGGGAAGCGCGTCGCTCCTCCGCTTCCTGGGAAGCGCGTCGCTTCTCGGCTTCCTGGGAAGCGCATCTATCCTCGGCTTCTTGGGAAGCGCTTCGCTCCTCGGCTTCCTAGGAAGCGCATCGCTCCTTCGCTTCCTGGGAGGCGCTTCGCTACTCGGCTTCCTGGGAAGCGCAACGCTCCTCGGCTTCCTGGGAAGCGCAACGCTCCTCGGCTTCCTGGGAAGCGCTTCTCTCCTCGGCATCCTGGGAAGCGCTTCGCTACTCGGCTTCCTGGGAAGCGCATCGCTCCTCGGCTTCCTGGGAAGCGCTTCGCTCCTCGGCATCCTGGGAAGCGCTTCGCTACTCGGCTTCCTGGGAAGCGCATCGCTCCTCGGCCTCCTGGGAAGCGCGTCGCTCGTCGGCTTCCTGGGAAGTGCATTGCTCCTCGGCTTTCTTGGAAGCGCATTGCTTCCTCGGCTCTCTGAGAAGCGCATCGCTCGGAGGCGGGAAGCATTCTTTGGAGAGAGCATCTCGGAGGCGAGTCTTCGAGCCTAACCCGGAGGTTGGAGGCGTGAGTCTTTCCCGGAGGGCGCATCGCTCGGAGGCGGGAAGCATTCTCCGGAGAGAGCATCGCTCGGAGGCGAGAATCCTCGAGCCTAGCCCGGAGGCCGGAGGCGTGCGTCTTCCCGGAGGGCGCATCGCTCGGAGGCGGGAAGCATTCTCCGGAGAGAGCATCGCTCGGAGGCGGGAGTCTTCGAGCTTAGGCCGGAGGCCGGAGGCGTGGGTCTTCGAGTATCCGAGAAAGATGCAAGTGGCTAGAGCCCAATATATTTAAAGTATAAATATAGCATAGAGAGCGCCTAGCATAATAATATTGAATCGCTTTGCATAAGATATATCTCTGTAAAATTGACTTAGCTTGAGAGAAGTTGGAGAACGGTTAAGTATTGGCTGCTGCATTATTGATCAGCAATTCGCACTCTAGCATACTGGTTGGCGTCTCTATCATCCCTCGAGAGGTTGGCGGTTCGAAGGCATCTTGAGGCGTCTTTCTTTCTTTTCTAATTAGAGTCCTGATTGGGCTGTCTAAAGCTGGGTCAAGCGGCTGATGGCGGGCCGTGCTTGCCTTTGCGAAGCGGCCCACTGGCCTTGGCTGTTCGGGCAGTGGCAGGCGGTTTTCGGGCTTGGTGATGGTGGGCTTCGGAAGCGGCTGACGGCGGGTCGTGAATGTCGAGTCTTGGCTCATGTGATGCGGGGCCGTCCTTCGTTATGCGGTTGGGCGTGAAGTGGGCCTACGTGGTGAAGTTGAAGGCGGGTCCGGGTCTCAAATGCGAGGCGGGCCGCAGATGGTTGGGTCGAGACTTGGCGGGCCGCTTTGGACGCGAATGGGAGGCGGTCTTGGGCCGTGATTTGGAGGCAGTTGCTACCTAAAACATGGAAGTGGGTTGAGAAGACGGGCTGGCTATTGTAGGCGGGCCGCGTTCTGATGGGCTAGTGGAGTGCGTTTGGCCTGATGCGGTTGAGCGGGCTGATCCCTTGGCGGGCCGGATTGGCCTGAACTGGAGCAAAGCTAGCAATTAGGGCGCTCTTCTTTTTGGCTGATCCCTTTTTCTTAAACGCTCGGCGCTTTCCTTGGCGAGGCGCTCTTCTTTTTGTCGATCAGACCTCTTTTCCCGGATCTTGGTCGCCTTTGATTCTCCCATACATATGAGTCTTCCTTCGGATTCGTAGGCGTTCTTCGCCGGAGGCGTCTCCTTTGCCTCGGTATTCCCGCGACCTCGGGAACTCCGTATATCAGCTTTTTCCAACAGAGAAAGAAAGTAGCTGCGACAGCTATGGGGCGACGTGACGACTGATGTTGACCAAAGGCACTGTAGCAGAGCAGGGAAGGTCCAACTTTTGGGAAGGAGAAGGGGTTGATCTTGACTGCGGCTGGCTTCTTCTTTTATGGCGGAGCTCCGATGCCGGAAATGTCGACGGCGACCGGGATCTGGAAAGTTCATGTCTTGTTCTTCAACGTCTTCCTTTTGCTTTGCTTGCAGTCGAGGGGGGACGTTGTGGATGACTAGGAGGGTGAACAAGAGGCCTCGGTCTCGATGATGGCCTCTCCGACAGATAGAGTTGAGGATGGCGATGAGTATGGAAATTGTTGCTTCTGTTGGCTAGCGCTCCTTTATTTTTTCTTTTGTTCCTTCTTCCCTTCGTCGCTGCGTCTTTGTTGTTGCTATTGGCGTTGATTTTTGTGGTCGTGGCTTCTTCCCTGGAATCCATGAAATGAGAATAAGACTATTGGAATCAAGACACTGCTTTTACATTTCACTTTGTTCAGCAGGTTGAGATGGTGATTGGTGGCGACTCGAGCTGTTGTTGCCGAATATGAGCTTCTCTTGTGGAAGCTGGGGTCAAAAGAACGGAGGAGGTGAGCAGCTAGGGTAATGATGGTGGAGGAGGTTGGATTGGCCGGCGTAGTTGTTTTCTTTTCCTCTTTTAGAAATCAAACGAAAAGAGTACCAGAATCTTTGCCCCACGGTGGGCGCCAAATTGTTTGAGCCTAGAATGTACTAGGCGGTTATGGGGCTCCGATCTGGACTCTTTCGTCTGATCTCCTCGAGAGGGAAGAACCTGTGAGGCGGGGGGCGGCCCCCGGGATCTACGCTCCGACGCCCAAGTTAGTACGATATAAGAGAGTGTATGGTATATAGAGAGAGAGAGAGAGTTTAGAGAGAGACCTTAGGGTAGAAGTGAGGAGGGGAAAGAGAGGATCCCTGACTTGGAGGCTTTGGCCTCCTTATATAGGGCTTGAGACTCCTTAAGTGGGCTTGGGCCCGTGACGCCTTGCGGTGGGCTTGGGCCCGTTTATAGTCTTGTAGGCATATTAATCCATATCCCAACACTATTGTTCTCCCGACCTACAAAACGCACACTAAAACCAGGCTGGGTACGTAAATAATGACCTATCTCTTCCAGGACAGCACCCAACTGGTTGTCTCTTGTGTCGGCTTGATTAATTTTGTCAATAATCACCTTCGCGTCCCCCCTCAAACCGGACCTCCGACAAGCCGCACTCCACGCACCAAATCATTGCCTCCCTAAGCACAAGCAATTCCACCACAGCAGGCTCATCCAACTGCGGAAACTGAATCCCCCTTGCCAGAAGGAGCGTCCGCGCTGGGTTAAGAACTACCATCCCACCCGCCGAATACGACCCATCCTTAGTAGCCCCATCCCACATGCAAACCAACCGGGGATCCCCCACTGGAGTAATTGGTTGAATCGACGGAATTATCACCTTAGGAGCCTGATCCACTGGCAAGCCCACCTATTCCTCATATTGTTGGTTGAATTGTCGCATGAGCGTCGGGATCCCAAACTGTTTGCCTTCAAAGACAACCCAATTACGAGACCGCCAGATCTGCCAAAGGATGGCAACAACCGCCATCACCAACACCTTTGAAGACTACAATTAATATGATCTAAATGTGCAAAAAACAAACTGACTTAAAACGAGTGAGAAATCGCCTGTTAAAGATTAAGCGGAGGAAATTAAAAGTTTTTCAGAAGAGAGAAGGGGCGCTGATGTGGCGAATGGTTATTAGGTTATGCATGGTTACTCACCACTGTACATGGGCGTTGGGCCGTGCTTGGGCCGGCACGGCTCGGGCCCATTTATTTCGTGCCGTGCTTAGCATGGCCCGTCAGTTTTCGTGTCGTGCCATGCAAGCCCATTTGTTAATTTTGCTAGGCCCGGCCCAGGCCCGGGCACGGTTCGAATCGTGTCGTGCCTATTCGTGCTCGTGCCATGCTCGTATTCGTGTTTAATGAGAAGGACGAAAACAAAAGAGAGAATAAAAAAGAAGGTGAAAATTGGACGGAGAAAGATAGTATTAACCGATAATAGCTTTGTTTAATTCTTTGTCCATTTTTACAACATAATTACGTATATATCTTTATGACACTTCTAACAACAACAAATAATTATTTTTCTACTTGTGTTTTGTAATATTTGAATCTATAATTTTTTTATATTTATTTTCTATCAAAGAAATTTTATTTTCGTGCCATGTACGTTTTATACTCAATAAAGTCTCGAAAATATTAAGCCCAACACGACCCACTTATATACCGTGCCGTGCCCGTGCTCGTGCCCATGAAGTTCAGGCCCGCACAACCTATAAATTATTCGTGCTCGTGCTGGGCTGACCAATTTATTTCGTGCCCGTGCTCATGCCGTGCTCTAACCATGTCGTGCCGTGCTAGCCCGTGGGCGGCACGACCCGGTGCCCACGTACACTCACCACAAGGTTATGCATAGGAATAGGGTTGTTTTTTTGTGAATATGGATGACGCTTGGCCCGTTCACTTGCCATTCCGTTTTCTGTAGGTGCCACAACAGAAAACATCTGAAAATGAAAATGAGGTTGTTGTTTTCTGAGAAACAAAACCTACAGAAAACTTGTTTAGCTGAGATTTTTGGTGACTACTGAAAATGAATACTGAAAATGAAAACCTGTTTAGTTGCTACATTCTGTTTTTCGATACTTAACTACCATAATTTTTTCATTGAGTATCATACAACTTTAATCATGATTATTATTTTTAATATAATTTGATTTATTTTCAATGAAACTTATACTACCCAAGACAAGAAAAAAGAACAAAGAAACCTACACAAAGGAGAAGATTAGACATGCATATCTCATCTAATAGCACTGAGCACATAATGACCAAAATTGACTTCTAATATATAATGAATGTTTGCAAGGGTCGGGAGACAACATATAAACATCACCATTCAGTTAATTATGAGGAGCGCTTTTGAATAGAATTGTATATTGTAAGCATCAATCATCGTTATCCATCCCAAAGCACTTCGATTCCTGCTACAAATTGATTGTATACACCAAATTTGATCTTACAGCCGACGGATCGACACTTCCTCCACTGCTGCCGCCACCATCTCCGCCGCCATTACTCCTATCCAAACCGATGCTCGAACGATGAGACTCTCTATGTAAGGGAGCCGAATGCCAAAACAGCTAGAGGAGAAGCTCGTATGATGGAGCTTCGATCGTAGGTTGGAGCTTCTTGTTCGGCCGTGCGCGGAGGAGGATTTGTTGCTGACTTCTCGTCCGCTGCCTAGAGAGGAGGAGGAAGAGGCGGACTGGCTGGAGCTTTGGAGAAGATGAAGTCGAGTTTGGGGAGGCAGCAGCTTTCCTCGATGGGGTGGGGAGATGAAGTCGATCGATGGGACTAGGGTTGCAGAAGCGAACGACAACGTTTGGTCTAGTTGACAAAAGAAAAAAAAAATAGAACGTTTGGTCGCTGAGGGGACTCGAATACCAGGACTCATTAAATGAAAATAGAGCGTTTCCCGCTAGGAAACGGGGAGAAACCCGCCCCAATTTTTCCAGTAAACACAATTTTATTGTTTTCCCTCAGCTGCCTCATTGTTTTTTCCAACGAAAATGGAATAGCAAGTGAACCACTTTTTTATCATTTGTTTCTTATTTTTTTTTCGTTGAATTAGCCGCTTTTTATTTCCGAAAAGAAACTAATACAACGAACACGGGATAGTCATCCCAATTCCCCAGCATCCCACCTAAATCATTGTTTCCCTGTACTACTGCAACAAGCAAAGAACAACAGAAAACAAAATATCTATACTACTGCAGAGTCAAAATCTATATGTACCCCAATCCCCTCAAATTGTCTCGAGCCCCCCTGTCCCCATAGGTGAGAAAGACAAGCTCCTGTCTGATCAGAACTGCAACCTGCTTTGGGGAACGACTGACATTACCATGAACAACTCCACATCTTTCCTTCCAAATAAATGATACGAGAAGACACCACATAAGAGCTTCCCAGGTGCCAGGATGAGAGTTTCGTGCTAAAACAAGAGCATGAACCATAGAATCCCAGCTGGAATTAAGTAACAGTCTGCAGTTTGCCTCTGCAGCAAGCTCCTTAACAAACTGGCATTGAGTGAAGAGATGATCCCTGCTTTCTACTCCTTGATCACACAGAGGGCACTTTGCATCCCTGATCCTCCCCCATTTCTGCAGTTTATCTCTCGTAGTAATGGCGTTTTTCATTACCAGCCAAGCAAGCATGCTGTAGCGAGGAGGGCAACTACTACTCCAAACCAGTTTATACCATAAAACACCAGGGGCCCTATTTCTCAGAGTCTCCCAAACGCGCCGGATTGAGTAGACAGCCATCTCTCTCAAATCCCAATAAACAACACCATTCTGCAACTGTAACCAGGGAAGAACAATTGCCCTGAGCTTGAGAATCCTTCTCCAAGCCCATGAACTGCTGTACTGCTCTCTAAGAGACCAAAGATCACCCAATCTACATTTGTATGCTTTCATCCATGCCACCCATATCGCCCCTGAATTCATCAAAAACAACCAAATCATTCTTATAGTGCAGGCCTGGTTCCAAGCCACCAAGTCTTTAACCCCCAGCCCACCTTCTCGCTTTGGCAATGCCACTTTGTCCCAATCCACCTTTGCTCTTCCTTCCTCTGAACCATACCACAAGAAATTGGAACAGACTTTCTGGATTCTCTTAATTGCTTTCTTGGGGAAGATGAACATCTGCATCCAGAATTGCACCATACCCTGAATCAAAAAATTGATCAATTGTAGTCTTCCTGCATATGATAATTTCTTTGCCCTCCAAGACCTGATTCTCTTGGTAATCCTGTCCACCAAACTGTCGATCTCCACAGATGATAACTTCCCAGACAAAAGAGGGAGTCCCAGGTAACGAACTGGAAGTTTTCCTTCCTGAAAACCTGATAAAGCCAAGGCATTCTGCTTGTAGAGCACAACTTCACCACCAAAATAAATCTCGCATTTAGTAGGATCGCTTTTTAATCCTGAAATCTGATAGAATATGTTTAAGATTTCCTTAACCATCATGATAGCCTGAGCAGAGCCCTTTGTGAAGATGAGCAAGTCATCAGCAAAGCAGAGGTGATTCATAACCATTCTCTTGCATTGCGGATGGAATGGAAGGGCCCCTGATCTGGCAGCTTCAGTTAACATTGCAGATAGACCCTCCATGGCTATAGTAAATAGGTAGGGAGACAGAGGATCCCCCTGCCTCACCCCTTTCCTAGCTCTAAAGAAACCACAGAGACTCCCATTTACATTAAAACTATAGTGTGCAGTTTGAAGGCAGCTCCTAATCCACTTTAAGAAGAGAGATGGAAACCCCATGGCACTCATCATGAGAAACAAATACTTCCAATTCACCGAGTCAAACGCCTTCATTATATCGACCTTAATAGCACAGCGAGTAGATAGCATTTTCCTATTATAGCCACTAACTAATTCCTGAGCCATTAGAATGTTATCCATGATACATCTCCCCTTGATAAAAGCAGATTGAGAACCACTTATTATCAATGGCATTATATCCTTAATTCTATTAGCCAGGATCTTAGCAATGATTTTGTAGATAAGGTTTATGCAAGATATAGGCCTATAATGTTTTAGTGAATCAGCAGTGGGGATTTTTGGAAGTAAAGAGACAGCAGTAGAGTTAACCCCACTAGGAAGAATACCTGTGCTGAAGAAGAAGTGAATACCCCTGACCACATCATCACCAATGATATCCCATGTCCTCTTGAAAAAGCCTGCTGAGAACCCATCAGGGCCAGGAGCCTTTTGATTATTCATGCCAAAAACCACTGCCCTGATTTCATCACTAGTGATGTCTCTAACCAAACTTTCACACTCTGCTTGAGGAATTTGCTTTGTTACCAGTGCCTTCACCTCCTCTTCACTCGGATTTATTTCCACATTTGCTTCACCCAAAAGCTTCTTATAGAAACTAATGACTTCTTCTACAATCTGCTCTGTCTGATAAACTTCTTCCCCTGTGCTTGTGACAAGTTTCCTGATTGCCCTTTTAGAATTCCTGATTTTTACAGCTTGGTGGAAAAAGTGTGAACTTTTGTCCCCCACTGACAGCCAGGACACTCTGGACTTTTGCCAACAGAAAACTCTCATAGGCCCTAGAAATCTGCTCATACTGCTCTAGTAGCTTGAGTAACCGCTACAAAATGTTCAGGTGAAGGGTTTGAGAAAGCTGCTATGTGTGCCTTGTGTAGAATATCCACCGCTTCCTTTACTTGATCTTGGAGATTACCATACACCTCTTTATTAAACTGCTTTAAGGCTTTCTTGACTTCTTTCAATTTCCCATGAACAATCTGTAGAGGATTCCTTGTAACTTCAACTTTCCATGCTTGCTCAACAATACCCAAGAACAATGGATGCTCAGCCCAAAATTCAAAATACTTGAATGGCTTTGGCAGGGATTTTATAAGGGCAGTGGTACTAACCTGGATCCCACAATGATCCGAAAAATGAGCAGGCAAAACTTCCATCACACAGTCTTTGAACTTCTCTATCCAATCTAAATTGACCAGGGCTCTGTCCAGCTTCCGAGCAATTGGATGACCAACCTGTCTGTTTGTCCATGTAAATTGAGGACCAGTGGTTCTATAATCTAGTAGCTCCATCTCCTCAATCCAACTATTAAAATCCGCCATACTAGTAGTAGTGTTTGTCTGATTTGAAGTTTCCTCGGGTGACCTGACTGCATTATAATCTCCTCCTACCATCCACGGATAGCCAGCTACTTTCAATTTGGCTAACTCTTTGTAAGTGCCAAGCCGTTCAGCTTCATCATTGGAAGCATACACCGTTGTCATAAAGAAACTATCCTTGTTCCTTGTTTCTTAATTTTTGTTGTCACACTAGAAAATAAAAAACAAAATGGCAAGTGAACGGGCCATTATGGTTGAGACAATTGTCCTCCATGAAACTAATTAGTGGTGTCCGGACTTTGGACTTGCTCAGGTTCAATTTGAAGGTGATGTTAAGATGCTCATTGACACGATTAATGTTAAAGATGCACGGGATAGTCGTGTTGGGGTTATTATTGAGGAAATTCTCCATATGTTGGCTTTTCATAGTAGTTTTCATGTTCGATTTGTAGGTCGAATTTGCAATAAGGCGACCCACCTTATGACTCGGAAAGCCCTTTCTTTGCCCCCGACCTCGTGTCGTATCTTTGATTTTTGTGTCCTGAATACGGTACAAGGTGTAATCTATGATCTTTCTATAAATTAATATGATGATATTTTGTTTATAAAAACACACCGATATTTTCACTTTTATCACCAAAACCGCCAATATTATTTTCTTAATTCATGTTAATTTCTTTGCATGGATTAAAAAAAAAGGTACATATATAGAACGCCAGTTAAGTATTTGATAGACATATGATCAAAGGGTAGACCAGACAATAGGTACATATATAGAACGCCACACTGATAAAGAAAAGAACAACTAGGGATAGATACAATAGTGCATCATACATCAAAGCATATATACATACACCCAGCTCGATCGTTCGATCTCCTAGGATCTTCGTGCTTGTGCCGCCTGGATGTCCTTCTGGACCAACTTCACCACTTTCTCAAACTGGGTGAAATCTTCGATCACTTCATTCACCAGCCGGACTTCGTCCTCGTTACCCGGCGGGAACTCAAATTCCGACCGAATGCTCCTAAATTCTTCCCATAGTCGCCGGGCTTCCACGTTGTTTCCCAACATGATATGAATGACGGCCTGTAGGGAAAGATAGAGCAACTCACAAAAATGCTCAAAACCTACGTTCACAAGGAAATGGAGAGCTCGAGATGGATGGACGGTATTGTCACATATTTTATAGGTATACATTGATGGATATAACGTAATGAAGATGATTAGCATCCACATCAATGCAATTGTAAAAGTAATTGTATTTATGCTTTTTATAGTTATTTTTTTAATCCATCTCAAATTACTTTGGGTTATAGGTATAATATGCCCCTCTACTATTTTTTGCATCAAACATGCCCTTGTACTTTGTAAAAATGATAAAACATGCCCTTTTGTTAAAAGTTTCATCCAAAAACCATTAACCAAGGCCGCACTTTAGTTTGGGCGACACAAATGACTAAAATATCCCTAATAAGTTCACTTTAGAATTTTTTTGGTTCTTTTGTATAATCAAATCATTCAAATAATTTCACTTTGAAAAGACCCAGGGAAATAAAACAGGGGACAAAACTGACATTTTCCCTCCCATTTGCCGATGTTGGGTCGTCTAAATCTCAATTCAACCATGATTGACGATTTTTTCAATGGAAATTTTAACAGAAGGGAATGTTTGATAATTTTTTCAAAGTACATGGGCATATTTGATGTAAAAAATAGTAGAGGGGCATATTTGATAAAACGTCATAGTTGAGGGGCATATTATACCTATAACCCAATTACTTTCATTTCTCTACATCAATGCAATTAACTTGTAATTGCATATGTAATTAAATATTTTGATTAAATTATAAAAATAAAGTATAAGAGAAAAGAAAATAATATAAAATAAAAAATCTCTATTTTTAGGCCTTTTTTATTTGCATATGCAATTATAGTTGTTGCAAGCTCACAAATATACAATTGGTAATCACATCAATGCAATTGGTTTTGCAATTGCAAACACCCATATCATGTCATCTTACAATTACAATTGAGATTGTAAATATCAATTTTAGCAGAATGTACCAATCAATATACCTTGTAAAGCGGGCGTCGAGCATCAGAAATTTCCGTGTGGGTTAAGCAATCGCAAGTTAAAGCTTTCTTGAGATCTCCCTGTAAATGCATTGATCGTAAAAATTGGCAGTAAGGGTCGTTTGGTAAGCACGTAATGTAGAATTCATGTATTTGAAGAATTCATGTATATTGTAGGTTGAGTTGTGAGAACTTGTGTAATATTAGAATGCATTGTTTGGTTTGCATGAGTTCATGGTAGAACCCACATAATTTGGCATGAAATCTCAAATACTTTGGGCTAGAATTCATGTGACCATGATATCTCAAATGTTTTGGGTTCTAGAATTACATGAATTCTAGAATTACATGTTGCACCAATATCATGATATCTGTCCCAAAATAAAACAAGAAAAACAGTGAAATCACAGATATCATGTAATCTTGAAATCTGTGGGTAGATTACATGCTTACCAAACGACCCTTAAGTTCTCAAGCTGGCAGGTCCATTTTCACTCGAGAATTATGAAACAGAGGAGCAAAGTAAAAAGAAATTTAGAGTGAAAGGAGATACCTTGTAGATGTAAAGTTCAACGAGCAGCATCTCGATTTCATAAAGCTCGTGCGGCCGTCTATAAAACTTGGCTCTTTCCAGCTCCTTCTCTAAGATCGCAATCGCCACCGCTTCCTTACCACTCATCTCAAATTTCGCAGCTGCACTCTGTTCAATCAAACACTCAAATAGTCTCGTTTAAAACATAATTAGAACGGAATCAAATCGAACCGAAAAGACCGGACGGGGCAAACTAGTCACTAACCTGGAGCTTCTTGAAATGGGGCTTGGGCTCAACGATTTGGGCCCGCAACTCATCTTCGGCAGCTTCAAGAGCGGCGGCATCGGCCCGGATGGTGTGGTAATCAAGCAGCCTCTCTAGGGCGACTCTGCCGCCGTGTAAAGCACCCAGGGAGATTGACCGCGTGAAAACGGGCGCCGCTACCGCCGGAGGTTCTTTTCTCATTCGCCACGCCCGGTGGCCGTAGGCCCAGGCTATGCAGATGGTGCCGGCGATGAGCAGAGGGCTCCCCGCGGCGGCTGCTATTGCTCCATTCTTGACGGAGAAATTCTTGATCAAGTATTCCAGCGCCGGGTTCAGGTCAATGTGGATCAGGGAGAAGCCGGAGAAATTCGTCATTGTTCAGGAAATGGTTATTGTCACAGGTTAGTTCCCTTGGGGATGGGACTGGTATATTTTAGTGAAATTGATTGTCTGTCCCACATATTATCGTAGCTTACACTAAAGGAATGGTGAGAGGAAGCTTTGCGTTAGGTAAGATTCTTGTAGGGTTTCTGATCCCAATCGTGTTGGGATGGAGAAAGGCTCAAGATTTCAATGGGTTTTGTCAAAGTATCAGCTTACTGGTTAAGTTCCAGGAGAATGGAAAAAAGCAAACGAGATACCTTGGACAACTTGGAAGGCAAGTAGATTCCAACTCAATTGATCCGTCAATGGCCCTCCAAAACAACGATCCTGCTCTTATCACTTAGGGTTTTTTTAGTGGACACCCAAAACCTCCTATTCAGATTTACCTCTTTGGCTATTCCCCATGGCGGGTACAGTGCAAAATGGGCTTAGCAGCAACATACCTCTGCCGCCCGCGGCTAAGCTTACTAGAGCCGCAATCCCAAACAACAACCATAAGCTTCACTTCCGCCTTGGCCACGATCATGCCTCATTTCGGTCATTTTCCAGGGCTCGTAAGCACCGATGCCGATTTGGGTTAAGAGGTCGTGTAATTGTCTGCGCCGAAGGGAAGTGGCCAATGCCGTGGAGAGATGAGAAAAAACAGAGCAAATGCAGAGATGGGAATGAGGGGAAACTGGAGGTTGTTAGATCATTCGTTTTGGCTTGTGCTCTTGGTGTTGGCATCATCGGCGTAAGCTTGATGAGGAGGGATCGGGTAGCGTTGGCTGGGCCGAGGGAACTGTACCAAAAGGCTCCACAATCGTCGCCGGTAGGAGGGGCAGGATACTCACTGGGAGGGAGGACAGCGCTGAGGTCTTTGTTAGATGTGCCTAAGCTGATGGCTTCCAGCAAAGTTGAGCCATTTCAGGTGGAGTTTGAGTTGCCCTATAGTCCTTCCACGGCTGAAGTTATCCCCATTAAGGTAACCAATTAAAACATTCTCATTATAGTAACTCAATCACAAATTCAATGCTGGATATTATCTGCGTCAATGGCATGTTATTGTATAAGGTATATCTAGAAAATTGTTGAGTTGAGTGCATATTATTATAAGATATTAAGTAGAAAAGCCCGAGAAGATGTGGGTATAGAGTGCATTTCTAAATGGTTTTAATCTCCCACCAAAAGAACTGATGACTGAAGTATCATAGTATATGAACTACCAATTATGATGATGAATGTTTAGTGAAGCAACTAATAAAACCATGAATCAACCGTTTGTCTGTTAGTAACAAATGACTCTGTGTTGAGAATGTATGTGCTCCTCTTTGAGGATTTTGCAGATGCATGCAGTGAAGTTGATGGCACATGGTCAATCTGAAGCTGCTGTCAAATTCCTGCGGGATGCAGTTTATCTGTATAAGAACAGGAAGGATAATGAGCCTGCCTACAACGTTGGGATGGTTTTGGTTGAGATTCTCATATGTCAGGTGACTGGGAACTACTTCTTTCCTCAATGCATCTGGATATTGAAAGATCGATTCCTTTCTTTATGACTGCAGATTTTGGTGTAGATACATTATTCAGGGCAGTCTCCAGAATACTTGGCTGTAAAAATTGAAACCACATATGAACTATGTGCCTTACTACTAGAACCATTTTTTGACTGTATTAGTCTCATGATGTGTTAATGTAGGGGAAGTATAAGGAAGCCTTGGAATGCAACTCTTTGAACGAACATCAACGTTTGCCATCAGATGGTCGGTTCCCTCTATACAAGGTTTGTAAGAATTAACTGAAAAACCTTAAAACTGTTTTTGGGCTGATCGGTTGAGATGACCGGTTTGCTGCCGACATGTATCGATCTGTGCAGGCAATTATCTACACGATGTTGGATAACAAAGCGGAGGCGAAGAAGTGGTGGGAACAGTACATTGAAGCTGTTGAGCAAGGAATTGAACTCCCACAGGATCCCGACATTGCTTAAAGTTGCCTGAAATTTGTAACTGATCTATCAAGAATTATTTTTGTAGCTATTGGTTTGATTCTGCTTATAAATGATAGTGTCTTTAATACTTGTATACACTGATGCTCTCGTAATTAACATAAAATAAACGGGTATGACTAACAGAATACTCTTCAACAATGCAATATGTTGTTCACTTCACATGACATAATCTAGCCTACGTTGGATACAAGAGATGACATAATGTAACCTTTCACCTCGGTTTATTCGTTTGAAATTTTAATTAGTTATAAAAATATTTTTATGACATAGAATAATTACATAATTTGTGTTGGGGTGAGTTTTTACTTAAAAATATCGCCAACCTAACCCAACCCAATTAGAAACAAACCGTAGGATTTTTTTTTTTTTTTTGGGTAGGTTTGAGTTTAATGTTTTCAGAATCGTAGTGCATGGATCGGGTGATTAAAATGGCTAAACCCGAATAGGGGCGGAGCCAGGATTCGACATTCGGCCGGGGGGGAATTCGTTTGTTCTACTGCTTCGAAGAGGCAATAATAATTAAGAAAAAAATATTTTCTATATTACAACATATTTAGATGATTTTAGAGTTACAGATCTATACTACAACTTATTTTGTGCAGACAAACTCACAAAAGTGAATATGTCGTATTCATAAATTTTGTTTATGAATCCATTAGTTTACATGCTTCCAAAATTAGTATTGATTTACCAGTAGCAATTGAAAGTGTGGTAAATGCATTTTTATCTGAATCAGGAACGAAGACATAATATGACGTTCCAAAGGGGATTTTATTTTGTTACTGTGAAAAGAAAATAAAACCAAGCAAAAAAGAAATTAATTTTTTTAATTGTACCATAATATCAATTTTAAGCCATAGAAAACTTCATTTTGAAAATAAAAGAGTTAAGAAGCCATATTGAAATTACAGAATTGAGAAATCGTAAGATGAAAACTTAATGAGCAATTATTGAGAGATTAAAACACAAAAGTAAATATGTGCCCAAGAGGTCTCGGAAACCATGACCTGGTCAGAGTAAACACTAGTTCCCACCGCTAGGCTATCTTACTTTCATGTTTCATTTTGCACACTGAACCGTTTTATACAACCCATCAGTTTATACAAAATTTCTAAATACCAATATTGTTTATACATAACTTCTAAAATTCTCGGCAGGGCCAAGCCCTCCGAGCCTATGTGTAGCTCCGCCCTTGAACCCGAACCACCTGATCTATGTTCAGCCCTATTCACAGCCATAGAGAAACATGAGTGAAGATGGTGTTGATGGAGGTGAAAATCAGAGCGATGGTGACGATATGAATCAACGACAATGATGCATTTTTTGTAAGAGATAGAGATGAGTGTTGAAAATCTATCTATTTGATTGATTGTAAGTCATCTCATATAATTTAATAATCATGCGTCAAATGCTTGCGCATGATCCAAGTCCTTGGAAGGAGATAGGTACCAACTAATAAATAAATAAAAAGTTTAAGAAAACAAGTCAATCAAAAGAAAAAAAAGAACAACCAGTTCTTAATTGGGTTAGTGATGTGACCGTTTTTATGGTTAAGAATCTGGAAAGGAAGTTAGTGCGGCCGGCGGCGTGAAGATTAGATAAGTAAGGACTAAATTGTGGTGTAGCATCATTCATTCCTTTGCTAAAAAGGTCGACTTTTCTGATAATTTGGATTAATTAAAGACAAACTTTAGGTACACAGCATTAGCAACCTACCGATTAAGGAATCCGAGTTTGCAAAATGCATTTAAAATATGATTAACTAACGCTTTCTTCAGGGTGTTTCATTTTTGGGTGCCCACATTCTACTCAAGGACTAAATGCTAATCAATTAGATTAAGATTGGATGGAAGTCACTTATATGCATCATTGCATGAGTCAGCACTTTCAGACTTTTAAGCCTCCAAAGACATTGAATCACTACATTTTGGCACATGATTCCTTCTTTCGTGACCTTAATTTCAGGGAGTTATGACTAGGATCTATCATTTATAACTCAGGACGTCATCATCGGCGGCAGTGTTCCACCGAATCGTACGCTGAGGTAAAGGAAGTCTTGCAATTGTAAAAGTATATTTCATTGATACGCGTGGCGCTAACAAATATAATAATTTGCGCATTTTTCAAGTCCATATAAACTATGTTTTCTTATTTCATTTCATAGGCGATATTGATGTGAGTTGAGTTAACATTGTATATCTGCCCCACCAATCGAAATTGTTGGTTGAATTGTATTGATGTTGTTGAGATGAAATCGGAAAGCATTTGTTGAAGCCACAACATGGGTAATCATATATTCTTAGCTCCGCAAATCCAAGAATGAGTGAATTAGAGGCGATAAGTTTAATACATATTGTCACAAAAGTTCAAAGAATTCTCTATCACGCCGAACTACGAACTCAGAGTGACAGACTAAAGCTGACTGAGATGGAGATGTTTGGTTGGTATCCACTATTGGAGATGGAGTTGAACAACCAATCCTTCCCCCAGCCAGTTGATAACTTAAAGAGGAGCGGTCAACGAAAAGGAAGAAGAAAATAAAGCATCTCCCTCATCAATCTTCATTCAACTACTTTTTCAATATTATGGTTCGGTCGTTTTCAAGTATTCCCTTAGCCATTTCATATAATAATAAATAATAATAATTATTATTATTGGTTTTCTTAGAAAGTACGCTTCCCTCTTTGTTCAGGCAAAGTGAAAATATCCTACCAAGCAAACCTCCCCCAGCCAGAGAATGAATAGTATAGTGTGCACATTTGCTGTACGTAAGGGTAAGAGTAAGACATGTGGGAGGCTGGGAGCGTGACCAATTGGGCTCTCTGAGATTCGGCAGTAGTCTCTGGTAGATAACCTCTGCTCTGCTCCAAAGAAAGAAATAAAGCTGAGGTTGGTTTGCTGAAGCAGAGAAAGTAGGAAAGGATGGGAGATGATAAGGGGCAGGAAGATAGGGTTTAGTTAATGTTGCTAATAGAATATATGATATACTGAAATTTCGTGTTTCATTAACTTAATGCATGCTAGTTGCATTGAGAGGTAGAGAGGTAGGTAGGTGTGGGAAACGCAATTATTTGCAGTTTTTGGTTATTTTGTATTAGTGTCGGTTTTTAATGATTGGGGGATTATTTGGGTATTTGGGGGAATAAACAGGTAGTCCATTGTTACGTTTTATTAATTGGGTAGCAGTTAGGAATTAGACAGGTTATATAAACTGTAGTAGTGGTCTTATTTTGGGGATTAAGCAATTACAGAACCAAAAACCTAAATCCTACTCTCTCTCCCCTCTCTCCTGCGGGTTCTTTCTCTCTCTCTTTACCCTCCAAAGCTGCGGCAGCAGCTGCCCACTCCTCCCCTCTTCTTGTTCCAAATCCCCAATTCTAATCCCTAGTTAGATCAATCCCTAATTGATCTAGCTAAATTCCCCAATTCTAATCTCGTTAGAATCCTTGTTTCTAACATCTGGTATCAGAGCCTGGCTCGAGAGTGAGTTCCTCTGAACTCTTGAACCAGGGAAAGCAACGATGGTGTCGACGAAATCGATGAAGGCGGCGGAGAAGGCGGCAGCGCAGGCAGCCGAGAGGAGCACCGAGGCGGGCGATGTTGGTCTCGACGGGGTGGTGATGGAAGACCTCACCGAGCTGGAGGCGGTGAAGATGGTAGTGCACAAGCACTCTGATGCGCTGGCTCGACTTGAAGAAAGCCTGGCAAGAGTGCAGGCCGATGCGAAGGAGGATGCTGACGATCTGCGTCAGAGGCTGGAGGACCTGATGAGGGCAATTACCTCGTTGCAGGCAAAGGGAAACGGACCAGGGAGAGCGCCGACCCCGGCTGAGTCGACGATCGAAGGGGGCGGCGGCCCTGGTGCGGTAGAGGCGGCGGCGTTCACGGAGGGTGGGGCGGCCGGTGGTGGGGCGACCGCGGCGGCGGCGTTGGCGGCGCAGGCGGATGCGACGGCCACGGCGGCCGGGGCTGGCGGTTGGGCCGGTGGCGGCGGCTCAGGCCAACACGCCGGTCGAGGCGGCCGAGGGGAGCAGGGTGGCGGACACCGGGCTGATCGGACGGCAGTAGGGTTGGGCTCGGGCTTGTTACCGACACCCACGGCCCAAGAAATTGCGGCCCGAAAGGGAAAGGCTAAGATGCCTGGGTATGACACTGATGGGCCTCCTATGAATAGTGGGCCGGGACAGTTGGGCCACTACACGAAGGTCCATAACGGGCTGGGATGGCTCGATCTGGAAGATGGGCCCGAGTATGACAAACTGAGCCTGGCAGGTCAGCAGGCCCAGTGGGCTGAACAGGAGTTGGATCGGAGGGGGCCTGGCGGGCCGAGCAGGGCCGCCGACCAGATGGGGCCAGGTGGGTCGGCTCCTATTGGGCGGACCACGGCGGATGGGCCAAGGGCGGGTCGGACCGAACCCGGGCGAACCAGGTTCGGACGGACCGATGCTGACCGGACCGAGTTGAGTCGAATCGGGCCGGGTCAAACCGGGATGGGTCGACCCGAGGTGGGTCGAACCAGGCATCGACCGAGTCCTACTGCTCAGCCGACCCGACGGATGGACAGCAGGGGTCTAGGAGGCTGGGAGGGGCCGAGCGAGACGCCTCATGTCCCAGGAGGGTACCCGAACTAGCAGGGAGGCTACCCGGGTGATTATGGGCACGGGATCCCAAACCAGATGCAGTGCTCTCCTTGGGGGCAGCCATGGAGGACTCCAGGAAATGACAGGTATGGGTCCCAGTATCTGAACTGTGAAGGAATGGATGGGGTAGTTTTTCGAGCTAAGCCTCCTACCATTGAGTTTCCCAAATTCAATGGGCAGGAGGATGTAGGTCTTTGGTTGTATGCAGTTGAGAGGTGGTTTAAGAATCACCCAATTCCGGAGGAGAGGAAGGCCTATCTGGCATCGTTCTATCTGGAGGGCGATGCGCTCCAATGGTGGGAGTGGATGGAGAGATCCTACGCAGCGACAACAACCTTAATCACCTGGCCCATGTTTCAAGAAGAGCTCCGCTATCAGTTTGGAAAGTCAGAGGGGTGGGCTCCTGAGCAGTTGGCGAAGCTGAAGCAGACTGGCACGGTGGCGGAGTACCGTGCGGAGTTCTTCAAGTTGGGGAACCAGTGTAAAGGAGTCTCGGAG